AGGTTGAGAGCACCCTTGGAATTGCACAACCCATTTTTACACAACTACCCGTGCTATGGGGTTATTCTGCAATTTGCAAATGCGTAGTTGGGCCGGGGGGAGTGGGGGGGGGAGAGGGGGAGGGCTTAGAATTGTGAAACCTTGGGCTTGACAGGGTCATTTATCATTGGATCTCATCAGCTGTCTACACTACTACCCCCGCTATTCACCCCCTCCCCAACCCTTACTCGCGCATAAGAAAAAGATTGATAGGAAATCGCCAAACATTTAGAGAAGGGCGCTTTTCTCACAACACTCAACAACCAGTTACATAATCTCTCTCTCTTTTTTTTCCTTTTTTTTTTTTTTTTTTTTTTTTTTTTTTTTTTTTAATTAAACCAGTTACATAATCTCACAACCAAACGTTCCTCCGCTATTCTGTGCTGAGTTAGAAAAAGCAGACAGCCTTCTTCATTGGAATCTGTAGCGATGAAACGGTCCAGATGCTCTCAGTCTGATCCTGTGTTACAAATCCACCGTCCAGATAAACTCCGTCTGGTCCTGCTAACACAGCACAGGACGGCAGGAAACGCCTGCTACCTGCCGTCTTCACCCGAATAGAACACACAGTCATTTATTGCTGTATCCAGACTGAAAATTGCACCAGATACATCTATAATGACCTGCGTTCTATTCGGGTGAACACAGCAGTCGCACTTCTGCAACACGCCTACCTTAATGGACACTACGATCATCCACATCTTTAAACGCGGACGGCTGCGTCCGTCGTAACCTTTTCCAAAGTGGCTGGTGGTCCCAGGGACTCCCAGGAAATTTTGTTCCGAGGCGCGGGTGTATGCGCGTCATGTCCTTCGGGCCTCGGTCTTCTGAACCAAAGTGCCTGGTGGTCCCAGAGAATCCCAGGCAAAGAGAAACAAAAACACGTCCGCGCCGGTTCATTTTTCATTGGCACAGAGGCCGAAATCTGTGTCGGGAAAAAGAGGCTCGGAAATACTGGCGGTTTAAACCACCACTACACGGCCATACATCGGCCCGGCAGGCCCCTCACGGCGACTTTCGGTGGCCAGCAACACGACAAAGGGCATCGACGAAATTTGTCAACGACGGCCCGCCCCCGAGAGTTGCGGCAGTCGGGACGAGTTCCATTCTTGTCTGCAAGGCTGGAGTTGAGTACCGGTGGCCGGCCTAGGCCTAGAATGACGATCGGATCGTATCACATCCGCCCTCCAACCCATCCCCCACGTACCTCGGAATTACATCGAACCTCTGCAAGACAACCATTCTCGTCGTACTCCCTTTCCATTGACAGGCGGGAACCATCAGATCCTAACCATCCGACGGCCAAAACCACCCCTCCCAAACTGGTGGGCTGGAGATGTGAAGAAACGCCACCGGGCAGCCACAGGATGTCGTTTGCGTACTCGACCTCTTTTCCGTCGTCGGCGAACGACTGAGGCTTCCTCTTTCGAACACATTCTCGGCACGAGTAAACCAGGGACGGCTGCTTGTCCTTGTTCTCTTCCTCCGTGTCCGCCATCGATCCCGACAACGACGACGACGGCGTCGGATAGGTCGTGTTTGACGACGATGGCTCCGGATAGACCACCATGGCTATCATCTGGAAGACATTCCACGACCCCAAAAGACTTTCCGGCGAGAGACGAGGACGTGCAGAGAAAGGCACGACGGGATTCTTCGTCTCCTTGCTGATGATGGCCATGGTTGCACGTCGAAAGGCGGGGCAAACAACAAATCCATAAAAAGACCAACAAACAATCCAGTCATGAAAAATGAGAAGAAGTGGCTGAAGAGCATCGCTGCAGAAGAGCAGAGACAAGTTTGTAGAACTTTTACATCTTATGAGATGGATAAAGAAACAAAAATAATAATAAAATGACGAAGATACAAATAAAAATAGTTAAATACGTACGCAATCATGCAAATCCACCCAGGTTATCGGGATTTCAAGATAATTTGCAAAAAAATTGAAAAACGTAAACAAAAAAAAAAAAAATTTCAACTTTGCCAAAAGAATAAGGGCGCGCTGCGCATGTGAAATACAATACAACTGTATCTTGTTTCATGAAAAGTATGCTACATACAGGGTTTACAGGGGCAACCAGGGTTCGCCGGTATGTGCTCATAGGGGCTACATACAGGGGGGGCTACAGGGGTTAGCAGGGGTTTACAGGGGTTTATGGGGGTTAACAGGGGTTACAGGGGTTCGCAGGTACGTTCATAGGGGCCACGTACACGGCCAAAAGGGGTTAGCAGGGGTTTACGGGGTCAACAGGTGTTAGCAGGGGTTTACAGGGGTTTACAGGGGTTCAGCAATGTGGTCCAGCATAGTGCCCAAAAAAACATAGGGCAATGGCGACCACGACATCATGCATCAGCTCTCACAATACTGCTCAAATTTCCAATCCTCAAATTTCCAATCCGATGAGGAAGAGAGGATAAAAAGGAATGCGCAGCCAAATTCTGCAGCACGTGTTCTCACACACCGTGGTGCACCAAAAGCTTCAAGAATCCTCACCTTTCAATCCTCAAAAGAGAGAGAGACAGAGAGAGAGAGAGAGAGAGAGAGAGAGAGAGAGAGAGAGAGAGAGAGAGAGAGAGAGAGAGAGAGAGAGAGAGAGAGAGAGANGAGAGAGAGAGAGAGAGAGAGAGAGAGAGAGAGAGAGAGAGAGAGAGAGAGAGAGAGAGAGAGAGAGGGAGAACAAACCGAGTGGATGGTAAAAGAGCAGGCACCACTAGCACTCCCAAGGAGGCTCCGTCTATTGGTGGGGAGCAGCTAAAAATAGAAATATTTCTTCACATAACCGAAGACTACTTCAGGCTGAATTGACGATCTGGACAATTTTGGATTTCTTTTGCCGAACTGTTCAGCAGACTCCGACGACGGTACAATCCCCATCGCCGCTTTTGGATCAGATTGAAAATTTAAAATAACATCCGACTTGCATCTGTAAAGCACAACGCTAGCGTCTTCACCCGAATAGAGCGCCTGGTCATCGTTGGTGCATCTAGACTGGAAGCTGCCCCCAAAACAGATATAATGACCGGGCGTTCTATTCGGGTGAAGACGGTAGCGTTCATTCTGAGCCAGGATCCAAGAATCCCAAACATTAAATTGACTTGCAAGCGCCTTCAGGGCAATTATTACATACATATAAAATGATATAATAATCTAGGTTACCAGAGTGGCAAACCAAAAAAAAAAAAAAAAAAAAAGAAGAAGGAAGGTTACCAGAGTGGCTCGGGACTAGTGGCCCGACCGAGCCAAAAAACAATAAAAAATAATAAAAAAATGTTTTATAACTTTTATTATATTTTATTTTTTATTTCAAGTTTGGTAAAGAATTTCGATGTGACCCTGCTGCATAGCACAGTGTTTTCGTTTTTTTTTTCCTTTCTCTTTTTCTTCTTTTCATTTTTTCATTTTTTCGTTTTCTTTTTTTTTGCTGGGACCTTCCTTGGTCCTTGCATGGCCGGGCAATCCCGGCAAACAAGGAGGCCTGGGCCACCCCACTGGTAGACCAGATGACATATAAGCCTCCTGATGAGTAGGTAGGTGAAACTCCGACGAAACAGTTTGTCACAGCCCCTTGTTCGTTGTCCTAGTCTCCCTCTCTGCCTACGGTTTACCGTGCAGCTCTGTTTGATGATATATACAAATATCTGTTTTTTAATTTTTATTATTTTATTATTATTATGTTATTAACTTATTATTATTCTATTATTAATTTTATTATTGTTATTATAATCAGGGTTGCCAGGCCGAACGTACGGAGTCCCCTAAGCTGACCGCCGAACGTTCGGGCATTCGGGTCCCCGTACGGGGCCCGAACCTGAAGGGGTTTGGACCCCGCAAAAACATATTTTGGCACCTAAATATTATTATATTTTCCTGAGTTTTTTTTTGTGACTTCTTTGTGATGTAAGGTATCTCCCTCTTAATTTTGAAGCCATTCTGTTCAGCCAAAAAAAATTGAAAAATCGGCAAAGATGGTGGTGTCAAAATTTGCTTGCCCACTCACTAATTCGTTTTTTCTCTCTTTTCACTTTTCGTTTTTCTCCCTCTTAATTTTGAAGCCATTCTGTTCAGACAAAAAAAAAAAGAAAAATCTGCAAAGATGGTGGTGTCAAAACTTGCTTTCCCACTCACTAATTTGTTTTTTCTCTCTTTTCACTTTTCGTTTTTCCTTTATTTCGGGGCATGAAAAAAAATTATTATTTTTTCAAACTTCATTTG